GTTTATACGCACTGTTCTCAGGATATTTTCGTTACGGAATTTCTTGATTCGGTCGCCGCGCTCAAAGCCCGCGATAAAATCTATGCAATAACTAAATAAATTATTCTTTATTCAATTTGACTTATTGAAAGCTCTTTTGAATCGTACAATATTTTTTCCTACCAAGACAGCACATTCAGGAAATCTTCTAACTGATGAGAAGAATGGGCGCAAAAGACTCATCTGCATTTAACAGAAATAGTAACAGACATTACAAAAAATCATGTCGCGTCGTCCAACGTCCACTCACATTTTGATTGCTGTGTCATACAGTATAAATACAAACAGTGTTCTATTAGGTATTAATCATTCAATATTAGGTATAATAGATAACGTTTTGCAGATGATCTGATATTGTTCTCTGAGTGCCCAAGAAAGCTACAACACATGCTACAACAGTTATCGGATCAGAGTGCGAAGGCGGGGCTGTCAATGAACACCACTAAGACAAAAGTCATGACAAATTCCTCAAAGACACATAATATCGTAGTAAACTCACAACAAATAGAATACGTAGACGAGTACATATACTAAGAACAACTTATATCGCCCAACAAAACCATGAACAAAGAAATCGATAAGAAGATAGCCAATGAAAGTTATGAAAGACAGAGATATACCAATACAAGCTAAAAGAAAAGTCCATAACACCTGTATTCTGCCCTGCTTAACATATGGTTGTCAAACATGGACACTAACGAAAACCTTAACAAAAAAACTGAGCGTCTGTCAAAATAGCATAGAAAGAAGTGTCATTGGAGTCAACAGAAGAGATAAAGTAAAATTAACAGAAATAAAAAACAGAACTCAATTCAAACAGGCACATTCTGTATATCGAACACTAAAATGGCGATGGACCGGACATATGTTGAGGGAAAGGCTAGAGAAATGGACCAGAATAATAACAGAGTGGTATCCAAGGGACGGTAAAAGAAACAAAGGTGGGCAAACGAAAAGATGGGAAGATGATTTAAAAAAGGTGGCTGGTTCAAAATGGATCAGAGTTGCAAAAGATAGAGGAAAATGGAAATCTTTAGAGGAGGCCTATGTCGAAAGACAAGCCGTGTCAGGAAATAATGACCCGAACGCTGATAATTTAGAATAGAAACAAATATATATACAGTTAATTAGATTAAGAAAATGTTTCAATGTTTAACAGTAATAAAGGCTTATTTTATTTTATTTATTTTTATAATAGATAAAATCTCAATAGTAACGCAGTTATAGAGTAGACTCAGCCCCGCTGGCGGAACCCGTTCACGAGCATGACGCATTAACCAGCCATCGCTTCGCTCAACCATATTTTAGGGAACGTAACGACTAGTGTTGCCAGGTGACCCGATGTGCGCGGGACGTCCCGATTTTCAGGGGTCTGGAGACGCGTCCCGATTTGTACCTGATCGGGACGCTAAATGTCCCGATTAATCAAAAAATGAAATAAATGTAATTAATATAATACTATACTTGCACTAGTACTTTAAAACGCAATAAATTAAACCCAGACTTAAAAACCCCTTGTTTTCGTTTAATGTCCCGATCTGCAACCCTAAATCGACCGATTTTTTTGACCTCATGTACCGATTTAAAACAAATCGGACCTGGCAACACTAGTAACGACCTGCCTTACACGATGCAACCGAAGATATTTTTAAGAGAGCATGACCACTCATAACCACCTATGCTAAACGGTAACATAATTTAAATAATTAAAATTAAAGTCATTTATCTATAGGGCACTGCAAACTATTACAAAAATAAAGTAATACTGGAGACGGCTCACAAATAAAGCGCAATTTATATTAAACTATCTTACTCAATTAAGATTATTGAATATTAATAAGATTTATTGACCAAAAAATCAGAAATTACAATAAGATTTCGTAACAAACGTAGCACTAATTATACAGAAAATATAATTTATTAGACTCTGCTGCTGAACTAGGCAATGCCTGTATTTCAGCATTCAGCAATAAACCCCACAGACATGAGAATACTAACCTAGACTAAATACACATCTGAAATGAAATGAAATGAAAAAACCTTTATTGGCTATCTTACACAATAAAAAAAAACTATAAATATAAACAGAAAATAAAAGAGAAACCTAACCTAATAACAAAAAATAACAACATAAAACTAAGACGGCCAATCAGGACCCTGCCTCAGCTTATGCTGACACAGTGGGAGAATACTCTCGTACTGTATCCGCGCTGGTATTCTGGCAGGGCCTGTGCGGGTCGTGTTATCTCATAGAATATAGAGAATAGTATTATTGTACTGTAATCTGATGTGAAGGTGTTGTAGGAGGGATTTTTATTGGTAAGTCCCTCACATGCACCCGCGGCCGATTCGGAATTCAGCCAGGGCTAGTGGGTAAGGGCGGGAAAGAAAATGAGTTGATGACATACGAGAGAAAATCTGTAGGGAAGCATGATTATCAAAGTTAAGAAAGGGAATGGTTTTTTTTTAATATGTATGCTGTTGGTCTCAGATGACCTTTACAGCGTCACCGGGTTTGGGGACGGCGAGATCCCTCTAGAGGTATTCCAGGCGGATGGCGTCTCCCCACGGAGGGTCTCCTCTCCGTCTGGAGCCTCTAGACCACTCGAACCTGAGGGGGGGAGTGGATAGATGGTAAGAAGACAGGCGTTACCACAAAAAGCGCGAGTGTTTATAAGCCGATGGATGGGATCAAGTAATCGCAATAATTAGCGGTTCTTCCCTAAACATAATTATGTACTTATAATAGGGGAGCCAAGCGGGGATTTTTGGATTTATTCGAGCGCTGCAGAATATCATAATGACTCAACAGAGATGATGACTAATTTTTTTTCTTCGTTTATCAGGTAGATTATCAAAAAGTATTGGACACGTATTTTTTCTTTTTTCACGTAATATAAACATTGCAGATATATATTGATTTGAAAAGTCGCATGACGTCACGTTTGAATACACTTATAAGTGAAAATTCACTCAAAAGTGACGTAACGAGCCCCTACTCCTAAACTTTGACGCGCTATAACTTTGTCATTTTTTGGTTGATTTGATTGCCCAAAGAAAAAATACGTGTCCATTATTTTTTGATCATCTAACTGACGGACTAAATAGAATTTCGTTTACTGTATCCCGTCATCACCCCTATTATATTTGGTCGGTAGCCTGTATTCGGGTGCACGAAAGACATTACTCGAATTCGGACACCCGAAGCAATATTTGCTCTATATAAAAGCTTAGGTCCGGGATCGCATCCGTGTCGTCTGGTCGGCCTCGCGACTATCACGAGCAAATCGATTGTAGGAAACGATCGATATTAAATTTATCACCTGCCTTCGGCGTCTGCGCCGGCGCAACGTAATACTATGATTCGCTTTCGAATCTATGAATGCAAATCATCTTACTATTTAAACTATCATTGTCACTAATAAATAAATAATTAATATTTCCAACACTCACGCCAATTAGCCTAGCCCCAAAGTAAGCACTGTAGGCTTGTGTTATGGTATACTAGGGTAACGGATAGAATACAATATATACTGATACATATATAAGTATATTTGTATACAAATACATATTAAACATCCATGACTGGAGTATAAATGCTCATATTCATCACACAAACATCTGCCCCCACCGAGACTCGAAACCGGTACCTTCTTGAAACCCGGCGTACAATACAAGCCACTCGGCCACGGAGGTCGTCAAATACTAATATTATACCAATACCACACACCACCTGGTTTTTGTGTCCTTTATTGAAAAAAGGGGTAACTTTGTATATGGCGGGCACTTATAATGTTAAAAGACTGGTGTAAAAACCTGGATATATCTACAAAAATGTCTCTACTGTTGTTTTTATATAGCACAGCCGCAGAGAAGAGATTTATGAGTTAACTCCTTTTAAATCTAGAAGCGATACGATCTTATCCATGGAGTAGGCCTGTTATAATATGTTTGCATGTATATCTAGTACAGTGTTGCCAGACGTACCGTTGTTGGCGGGACGTCCTGATTTTTAAATCAAAATGTAATGTCCCGCGCGGGACAGGCTCAATCCCGCTTTTCGGGAATAAGGGGGCGTCCATAAATTACGTGAGATGTTTAAGGGGAGGAGGGGGTCGAGTCAAATCTCATCTAATCTTACGTTGGAGAGAGGGGGGGTCTCGGCAAATATTAAGTAGTATCTATTAAGTATTCTATTGTTAAATTTTTATTACACTTATAACTCTCAGCAATATTGATTACTAGTCTTAACCAGTTGTAAATGAAAGCACGAAGCATTTTTTTTTCTTTTTACAATAACAATCCAACGCGTTTACGAAAGAAACCCACATTTTGAAAAATCTCACGTGAGATTGGGGGATGGGGGAGGGGGTTGAATAAAATCTCACGACATCTCACCAGGGGGGGAGGGAGGGACAGAAAATCCAAAAAAACACCTCACGTAATTTATGGACGCCCCCTAACTCGACCGTGCGTGCAGCGTTCTAAGCGCGGGCGGGTGGCACAGAGGAAGTGTGGACTGGCCGCCTGCCCGGCGCGTAATAGAGATAAACTAGCAAACCAGTGTACCAAATGTTCACAAAAAAAAAAAATGAGTATTTAATTAATTGAGAACTTCGGAGATTTTGTGTGTTTTCGTTTAAAATAGAAATCACGTGATTTCTAGAAAACCGGAAGTGCTACGTTACTCACATCCGGTTTGTAGTCTTATCAGACTATTCTTAACTTATAACTTAAACATTCTCTATATCTATCTCTTACGGTTTGGCCGCTGAAACAGCACCACGGACGGACGGACGGACTTGTCTATTAGATAAGAGATATTGAATAACTTTTGATCATATACGTTTTTTTTACTATGTCCCGCTTACGACGAAAGAATCTCGCTTGATTCACTAAAAAGTTCCTAAATCCCGACTTGGCAAAAAAAAAATTTAGCAACGCTGGCTAGTAGTACTTACTGGTAAATCGAGCACGTTTTCTGGGTGTCGGTGATCTCCTCTTCAAGCTTAAGTCAACTGGCTCCATTTGTATGGGCGGGCCGCACGCCTATTGAAAAAGAAATACAACAATCATTAAAATCTCCAAATAATAAAACACACAGAGAGAACCATTCATTTGACAAATTCACCACTTCTCTCAATTCAATTCACACACGATGTATTACAAAAAGAAAGAAAAGCAAGTCCTATTACTAATTGTAGTTATATTTTTATTTTTAAAGCATTTAACAGCTACGAGTAGATGATTAAATCTAAAGAAAAGGTTACTAGAAATTACCACGTGGAATATGTAGCAGACGGGACAACACCTCTTACTTCCTACTTATAAATGTAAAAGTATGTAAGTTTGCTGGTAAAAAAACCAAAAAGCTTCTTGACGCATCTGTTTAAGGACCCCTGATTGTAGGAAGAAGGCAAAGAAACGAGTCACCAAAGGACATTGTTCGTTCCCCATACATTGAATGCCCTAGAACGCACAGCAATGAGAAAATGCTAGTTGTGTTCGGAATCATTCATAAACTCTAATTAGGCATTTGTTGAGATACGGACAACTTGAGGAACCGTGGCCTACTACAGAATGTATTAGATTTTGAGGTTATAATTATTATACTTAATCGTAAAAGATGTACACTAAATATTCTGAATAGATTCGAGTGTTTACCTTTATGTAAGCACTTGAATAATATGCATTAAATGAACATAAAATGCAATTAATAATAAAAATAATAAATGCTCATATTCATATTGATTTATGAGTGTTGGCAGTTGGCGATACCTATAATACCTACCTGTTGTAATAATAGATTTCTTTTCAAATGAAATGTTCAAAGTCTTTCCATTTACCTGTTTCTATATTTTACTATCGGTAATTAGCTACGTACCTGGTTATCATTATGATTTTCATAAAAATAAATATATATTGTAAGGGATGGGAGTATAAACTATCTTTACATAATTTCAGAAATAATCTTTTTATAAATATACACACATCAAAAGTGTCTAGGGATCAAGCATTTTTATGCGGATTTCTTGAGATTGAGATGTGGCTTTGTAATAAATTTATGATTTTATAAATTTATATGGATCCTTTTTGGTGCATTTCATAATTTGAATCAGGAACTGTGAATCAAATTCGAGTAAAAGATGAAAATCAGCTGTCAATATTTTCCCTATAAAAACATACAACGCATTGAAGACATTATTAGTGCTACTGTTTCCCTACTACTGATTAAAACCAACGTTATTATGGAGCGGCGACGTCATTTAAGCAGGGAAGAAATGCTCAGAGCCGTGGGAATGATAGAAGCTGGTTCCCGGCAACGTACTGTGGCTTTAGCTCTGAATACAAGTCAGAGTGTTATCAGTCGACTTTGGACACGATACCGAAGCACTGGTACCGTGGCTGAGCGCCATGGAGGACGGTATCGCTGCACCACACAGAGACAAGACCGATACATTCAAATCTTAACTCGAAGAGCTCCAACAATAACCGCCATGATGTTAGCCGTGAGGCTTCATCACTCTTCAGGGAACTTAATTAGCGACCAAACAGTCAGAAACCGCTTGCATGAAGTGAACCTTCATTCCCGAAGACCGCTACGGGTACCACCTATAGCAATGCACAATCGTAGGATTCGATATCAATGGGCTCTTGAACACAGAAATTGGGCAGAAGAACAATGGCGTTTCGTGTGCTTTTCTGATGAGTCTCGTTTTGGTATGAGACCGGATACAAGACGTATACGACACTGGAGAACCCCTGGACGCCAACAGCGATTAAAATCCTGCCAGGAAGTCCATCCTTATAGTGGTGGAACCATCATGGTATGGGCGGGTATTTGGATCGGCGGAAGAACTGAGTTGATTTGGATCAGAGGCAACCTCAACGCTCAAATTTATGCTGAGACGATTGTATCAGACGTCATCGTTCCTCTACAAGTGCAAATCGGTCCCTTATTTCAGTTAATGCATGATAATGCACGACCGCACACCGCAAGAGTTGTAAGACAGACTCTCGCCGCAGCTAACATCAATGTCCTGCCCTGGCCTGCTCAGTCGCCAGACTTGAACCCGATTGAGCATGCATGGGATATGCTACAGAGAAGAGCTCTGCCGAATATGGAGGGTATCCAGTCGCAAGAAGACCTTTTTTTGTTGTTGCAACGAACATGGGCGGCCATTCCACAGCGTGATTTGGATGAACTCATTTTGAGTATGCCAAACCGATGTTCTTGTGTTGTTAGTGTTCGCGGTAGAAATACGGATTTATTAATTGTTTAAGTTACCCAATAAAATTTTAGAGAAAACTGTTATTTCAGTCTTTTTTTCGAACTTTTGTGTTAGTGGTTCAAATGTCAAAAATCCCTTTATTAGGAAAATGGCAAATTTCTTTATTAATGCAAAGGTGACTTGGTTTATCGTTACTGTGACAAACGAAAACACTTTATTTGATGAATCCTTAAAGAAAATTTTAATTAATATCAATCAGGAGAAAAGTTATTGCAAAAATATATGTTGATCCCTAGACACTTTTGATGTGTGTATTATAAATACTAGTGATAAGTGTAGTGTACTAAGGTACCGAGTTCTATTCTTATGTTGTTAAATACCTATGGTCGCCTATATTGCGTTTATTAAGGTAAACAATCTTGGCACAACTTTTTAACAAAATCACCCATTTAAAGATAAAATAATAACGAAGCCAATAAACTATTAAAATAAATCGTTATTATAGACTGAAACCTATTGAATCAAGTTGTCAGTTGATTTTTAATAAAAAAAAAATATTAAAAATCAACCTATTGATTTTTAATAAATTCATAAAAAAGGAGTGCCAAGATTGTTTACCAAATAGGAGAAGTTTTATTTATTTATTTATTTATTTATTAGGACCACCAGGGAAAGTTACATTAAATCTTATTTTTAAACATTATAGTGATACATACAAAATGCAAAATTCTATTGAAGGTAGCCACATCATGCTTAAGAGACAGTACGAACGGATGAATTTTAATTAAATAAACAAACAGAAACACAAACCGAAACCACATGTAAACAATGAAGTTTATGAACTATTAGTGGCTTTGAAACTATAGATAATAGAAAACGAATATATATAATTACTCGATATAACAAATTTAACGACAAAAATAAAAATAAATGCCAACTATGAATGCCTACGCATCTCTTAATAACTCTGAAACTTTAGTCCTGAATCGTAGAAAAGAGTCATGGAAGATATCAACACTCTCACTTAGCTTGTTGTAAGCTTCGGGCAAGCGATATGATGCAGAGTGTGTTAATATATTTGTGCGAGCGATTGGTTTGCTGAATGTTGGTACAGGATAGCGTGGTGGTTTACGGGGAACTCTAATATTTATCTTACTGAGAAATTGTGGGCAATCAACTACATTTCTGACAACTTTAAATAAAAATGTGATGTCCAAAATATTTCTCCTAGTGAGAAGACTGTCCATATTAAAATACTGAAGTCTTTGGCTGTAGTTGGTAGATTTTGTATTCAGCCTACTACTGAATGTGAGATGTCTAGTAAAGCGTTTCTGAATGCGTTCAATACGAAGCTGATGTATACTGTACTGAGGAGACCAAATAACTGAACAGTACTCTAAGGTGCTTCTAACAAAGCTGTTATAAATCAAAACCTTTGTTGAGGGATTTCTGAATACTTTGACATTTCTCATAATGAATCCTAGAGTTTTTGAGGCTCGAGTAATAATGTTATCTATATGTGGAGTAAATGTTAATTTAGAATCTATTATTACACCCAGATCTCGAATAGTATTTACCTCCTCTAACACAGCATCACTTACTTTATATTGTGACTCAAAATTGTGAGACTTGCGGGATAACTTTATATGATAACATTTATTAATATTGAGAGACATTTCATTTATCTTGCACCATTCCACTAAGCTATCAATGTCCGATTGTAGGAGTTTAGCGTCCTCATCACAGTGAATAACTTTTATTAGTTTGAGATCATCTGCATATAAAAAAACATCACTGTGCTTAATTACATCTACAACGTCATTAATGAAAACATGACAACATGACAACAAGTTAGGATGAACAGTCTGTAATATCTAGTAACAGAACTTTTTATTTTTTTAAACAGATTGTCCGTTCACTATGGTTCATTGCTAATAAGTTAAAAAAATAATAGAAAAATAATAGTGAAGGACATTCTTTTGGGCATGCTAGGGCCGATTTCGTCGATGTCCTTTCTTTGTACGTGTAGGAATAGTTACCACAGTTTTGGAATAACACAGAAAATGTTTGTTTGCCCACACACAGAGCGGAAGTATAGTAGTAGAATAAAAAGCAATCTATTGGATATACATATATTTATATAACAGCTGGTGGTAGTGAAGGCGAGTTTCGTGTGAATCCGAGTGTGAACACACGGGGCGTGTCCACACGATTCTTACGCAACGATCGGGCGAGCCATCTTCAATTAAACTGCGGACGCGTGGTCGCAGTGCGAGCGATTTTGATATCACACTAATAATAAAAAGGCGAAAGTTTGTGAGTGTGTATGTTTGTTACTTCTTCACGTCTAAACGGCTGGAGCGATTTTAATGAAATTTGGTATGGAGTTAGCTGACACCCTGGATTAACACATAGGCTACGTTTAACTACAGGAAAATATCCCTAATAAACCGCGGGTAAAACCGCGGGCACAGTTAGTTAATATATAAAACACGCTTTAACGGGTTCGAAATGCGTCTTTCCGTTACATTTATTTGATGTTTCGCAGCATCCTTTACCTTCGAAAGACATTTATTGAGCGTTCGGATAATTCATTGAAAGATAATTAACATATTCTGTTTTCTTTTGTATATGATTGCATAATAATAATCTTTCAATGAAGTATCATAAATCTCAAAAAAAGTTTTTTAAAGATAGATCGACAAAACAAAAGTCATAATTCTGACGACGCAGCCTGAAAACGATTGTTGACTGTTGCAAGCGCCATGATGAGTTACTCCGTGATCATCGCGCTTGCAACAGTGCCGAAATATCGGA